ATTAAAATAATTGGTTTGTTAGAGTAAATGATCGTTTAATGGGGACCCGTTCAATTATCAATTATGGGAATCCAATCCAACGGCGAGGGTTTCATTTTTCCGTTTAAACGTCACAATTGAATTCTTATATAAGCAAACCAATCGACCTTTCTCTGATGTTTGGTGATTACACGTTTTAAACCAAATTTTAACATAATTTTGTATTTTAAAAAATAAAAAATAATAATTCTTAATTATCGCATTGTATTAAAGTAAAAAATATATTTCGTTCTATTTTTTATATGTATAATATTTTATATACGATAAATAGAACAAATAAATTCATTACATCCTTCTCACTTTCGGTGAAGTTTGAACCTCTAACTTTCTCGGAGGCCAAAGACTCACATACCACTAGGCGAAAGACCTTTTGATTATTTCGTTCTAATTTTCATTTCCGGTAAACTATTTTCAGTACCTTCGTTAGTGATTTGTGTATCTACCCCAATAATACTATTGTGTCGTACCATCCTATGAACGTCCATGAATGACAAATCATAGATCGAACTGTAGACAGTCTAACGAGAGGAATGAATGTAGTTGATACAGGAGCTACGTTTGTTATTTATGACATGGGCGGACATGACCTATGAAACCTCGAGCGGGTCTGTCCACCCTCTCAACTTATTTTTGCTAGATTAATTTCTTTGGAGCATGGAAGATGCACCTGACAAACTTGGTGTTTCGGGATATTAGAAAATACAAGAAACATTAACCAAAAAATCGAAAAAAATTCACTGAAATCAACCAAAAACTTTAAAATTCCCTCGAAATAACGGAATTCCGCTATAACATATCGGACGACTCTGTGAACCTTTGATCATCCACCTTAAAGGTACACTCGCTCGAAAAAAATTATGGGTCTACCACTGATTTATGAAAATACTGATCTAACCAAGAAATAGAATAAATTTATTACTTGCACAATTATAATACATTTTTTATTTGTTTATAAAGTTATAATATTTTCCGTTAATTGATCCAAGTTGTAAAATCATTCACACATCCGAAACATTATAATTAATTATTTTGTTTGATTTATTATTCACGTTCTTGAAAAGTGATTATGGCTTTTGATTCAAAAGATCGATTTTTCTGATTTTTGAAAAAGCCGATGTTTGTGATTCAAGAAACTCCCTTTCATCATTCGATGCCGACGATGTGTACTCTAACAAAATAAAAATGTAAGTATGAGAAGCAGTAACACTGTTGTGGTAGTTTTTCACTAGCAAATGATTTTCATGGAAACAGTATTTTTATATCTGTATTAGAAGAAATTGTGTATGTTCAATCTCATTCCACCTCTAACTGGGATATATTTGGTATATTTAGAGCATCTTCAATAGATTCTTTAAAATAAAGAAAATAACACTTTTTCTTCTATATTTTGCTCCAACAAATTCTCTATATTGTTTTCTAAAATAGAGAAAAGTATAGGAGACTTTCTTTTGAAGTATATACTATTTTGCTCCAACAGATTCTCTATATCCCGAGCCTCTCTTAATCATTCGGCACCCTAATTTCATAGTAAACAATTATCAAACAAATATATTTCATTTTGCACTATATCATGAGAGTCTCTTAATCATTCTGACCACTTAATCATTTTGCATCAAACTATTCAACAACTGCCAAACAACCTCTTAGTTTGTTTGACTTATTGTCGTGGCAATATTATTGTATCAATACAAAAGCATTGTGGATATTTAACGTTATAAGGGTATTTTAGTTATTTCCATTTGAAGTGGCTAAATCCCGTTTTGAAATTAGTTTTCCCGAAATATAAACATTTGAAACATCACAACCTAACATAATCAATCATTTTCTTGAATCAAACTACTATAAACAAGAACCGTTTAAAAACATGATGGAACTGCATACCAATATATTGTTGTAACAAACTGACCCGTGCCAATGTCAATTACTTTCGACACGTGATTATTCTTTTGTTAGTTAATTCACCATCACAATATGTTCAAGCGTCACGTGGTGACTATTTATATCACACGTTGTGTACTTGTGTAGTGTACGATTGGACGTACCTGATGCATCAAAGAGGGTGACATATACTAGTAGGGTGGCGGACTTTAGGATCGTGTACCGCTGGGAACACCGTTATTTCCTTTTCATCCAAAATAAGCTTAGGTGGAGGCGTTTCAGTTCGTCCAACTCTAAGCCGTGCAATGGTTTGGTCCGTCTAGTCTCAAACTATATGCTCTTCAACACTTCCCCAACTAGTCTAACCATTACCCCATCTTATTGTTTATCTGACCCATGGGACCCATATAAGTTACAGCATCAGAATAAGAATTCATCTGCTAAAAATAGTATAAAAACGACACAGATTAAAACAAAAAACCAGAAATCAAAACCACATCCATCTCAACAAACTTTATATGACAAACTCTAAACTTATACCAAAAATTATCTAATGAACTGTTCATATATCCTTCTAATTATCGAAATAAGTAAACAAATATAATTACTAAAATACCCTTTACTGTTTAGACCGTTAAGAATAGCCGATGTGTACACAAATTGATTAGAACACCTAATTCAATTCCTACATATTTTTCTATTTTAGGATTTCAATATTATTAAAATATTTTGTAATTTTATAATCCCAATACACCTTACAAAAAAAACTTTATGTAAATCAATAATAACTCAACCCTATTAGTGGAATGAATATAAACTTCAGTCTTCTCTTCATATTAAGTTCAAGGTGGCGTTTGTTTTCTAAGAGGTATTAAAGTCTGATTTTCCCTTTTGATTTATAAGAGGTGGTGCTGAAGTCTGAAATCTAAATCAGTAAGACTGTTTGTTTTTACGTCTGAAGTCTGAAATCTGAATCGGTCACACTAGTGCAAAAATATAAAAAATAAATAGTTTTTTACAACAGTATAAAAGGTAAATAGTTTTTTCTAACAAATCTCTTTCAGCCCCTAAAATTTAAACCATTTGATAAAGGACGGATTAAAACTAGAAGGTATTAAGAGATACATTTACTACTTAAAATTTTAGATGACATTCAGAGCTTTTAAGCTCTTATTTATAAATAAATAAAAAACAAACGCTCTTAATACTCAAACGTCTGCACGAATCAGACTTCTGAGATATTAAGAGACAATTTTGGAAAAAACAAACAGTCCCTTAGAAAACTTCTTAAACTTAAATTTTCTCTAATTTAGATAACAAAATATAGAAAATTTATTCGAACAAAATAATCAATAAAAATCTCGAAAATGTTAGAGCAAAATATTATTTCTCTTTAAACATTTAATTATAAGGTTTTTTTTAATTGCTAGAAATAAAATAAAAAAGTAGTTTCTCTCTCTAATAATTTTAGAAATTTCTCTAAATTTGAAGGATTTCACTCTCTTTTACTGTTTTTATTTTTAGTGTTCTAAAAAAGTTGTTGTAGATGCTAAACAACAAAAAAGTTACGAAGGGCTATTTAACAAACACGTACCAAATAAACGCTTACAGGAACATCACACGTACTTTGGCTTATCGTGTAACATTTTCAACTATAAAAATGGATTATTGGAGAAAGTCTTAAACCCGATAAATGTTTACTGTATAAGAGAATTTTTCCTCATTTACCAAGTAAGACTCTTGATTCTTGCTATATTTTTTACCGGGTAAGATTTATGGTTCTTACCATAATCAATAAGATAATTAACATCAATAAACACTCATCCAATAAACGTTTAGTAATCAGCCCTAAAATAGACCAATTTTTCCATCTTCATTCTAAGACTATGTTTGGCAAACTAGCTGATAAGTTAGCTGGTGAACATATCATGTGTAACAAAACCAGCCTATGAGAATGTAAAATGACCAAAAATGGTATCTTGAAAAATTAATCAATTTTAATATTTTAAAATATAATTAAAATAAATATATAATATAATATATTAACTAATACAAACATCTAAAAATCTATTATTTATGATTTTAAATAAACATTACATATAATATGAATAAAAAACAATTTACCTCACATATTCTAATTAATTAATATTTTAAAAAATATTTAATAGTTAAATTAAATATTTT